CTGTTTGTTTCAGCTTGTGTCCTGATAGTTTTAGCTTGTGTTCTGTTGGTTTTAGCTTGCTTCAGCTTGTGTTCCTGTTTGTTTCAGCTTGTTTCCTGTTTGCTTTAGCTTGTGTTCTGTTGGTTTTAGTTTGTTTCAGCTTGTTTCTTGTTTGCTTTAGCTTGTGTTCTGTTTGTTTTAGCTCGTATTCCTGTTTGTTTTCACTTGTGTCCTGTTTAGTTGGTTTATTTATGAATTATTTAAAGCATAAAGTAAATTTGTTGGGTTGTTGAAAGTCATTTTGAATGTTTAGGAATATTTTGCAGATTTTCTTGGAGCAAACGTTATGTCTTATTATAAACAGGAAGTAAACAACTGGATTACGAGTGGAATTGTGGGTAATGTTCTCATTCATAACGAACACAGATTATTCTAAGAATCAACTTTTGGTTTTGGACATAGCCTGCCACGTAGGAACCAGCTGACCCCAGCCTCACCTGTCTCAGGTGACCTTTGACCCTGGACATGTCCTCCTGCATGCTCTTCTTCTTGAACTCCTGGAGGTTTTCAAAGTACTCCTCCACGTCCCGCTCATCCTGGCAGAACAAAGTTTCCAGAACAATCTTCCTTCCGCACAGGTCGATGGCTGTGCTGAAATATTTCTCCAGTTTCCGACAAGGAGAGTCCAAATCACCCCCGTCCGGATCCTCCGGGCCCGGCCTCCGGTTCAGAAACAGCAAGTCCCAGATGTTACTTTCCTCAAACTGGGTCAGGTCCGGGAAGCAGCCCCCCAGAACATCCGCCACACAAGCAAACTGCTGGTGAATATTTTTCAGGTCGCTGACGGAGAAGAGTCCGGCCCAGCTCACTTGAGGGTCCCCGATGGTCACTTCGGCTCTCCGGTTCCGCCGCTGTAACGTCCGGTTGTGGCAGGTGACAGCGAACTTCGACTCGATGACGTTCCACTGGACAATGAAACCCAACTTGAACGCCTCGTGTTCCTCAAAAATGTCGCTTCTGACGGCCACCCAACCCTCCAGGCTGTCCATACGCTCGAACTCCACTCCGTCCATGTTTAAAAGCTCGGCTTTAACTTCGGCCTCGGCTCTGGGAAACTGCTAGCTCTGTTTACAACGCCCGCCATGTTGTGTGACGTCAACTTACTTCAATGACCACGTCAAAAATCGGGACTTCTAACTGACTGCGTTTGAGTGACACAAAACACTCAACACATTATAAAATAAATTACAGCTAAAAATAATTATATTGTATCTAATAAAATAAACTTCAACAGAGTAAATACACTGGAATTAGTCGCTACAATCAAAATAATTACACTACTTTAATTTAAAATAGACATTTGGGTTGAAGAAAACTTGGCTCATTTTACTTCATTAACGATATCAAAAATAAAGGAATGACGGCTAAACAGTGACATGTCTGGATTTTTAGATGATAATATAACGAAAATGAGTGATAAGCCAAACTAAAATCTAAAGCGTTGGGGTGGCTGGTTTGTGAATTTACGACGTTTCATAAATGCACCACAAGGCTGTGTTCAACTCTGACCTTTGAGTCTCGTGCTCGGGGATTTCCAGCCTCAAATTCGTTCAACCTTTATTTATACAGGTTATTGAGTCATCATCAGGACTAGTTTACAAGAGAGACCTGATGAGGTACACAACAATAAACATTCATATGAAAGCATATAAAATGAAAAGTATTTAAAAGAAGTGATATAAAGATAAAAATAAAAAAGAATGCTACATTATAAAACGGTGTAAAGCAGTAAGGAACATGTCTGCATTGATTTTTGCGTTGAACTTAACAATAGTTTAAAATCCCTTAGAGAGGTCAAGGTCGAGAACTTCAGAATAGTAAATGAAATATTTATTTCATGGTGTGAATGATAGTTTACCTGTTTATATACAGTATGTGTATTTGCACTCAAAGTACTTGTGCTTTTTTGCTGTTTTAGCTGGTAATAAAAACCTTCAGCTCATTTAAGAGGTGATGTTATAACATTGATGCTTTTAAAAATATTGTACATAATTTGAATTTAACATTACTATTAAAGATAGGAATGGTAATGTTCTAACCAGTGAGAAGAGTGTGACGGGAAGATGGAAGGAGTACTTTGAGGAGCTAATGAATGAAGAGAATGAAAAAGAAAGAAGAATAGAGTCATATAAACTGTGGACCAGGAAGCGGGAAAGATTAGTGAGGGTGAAGTCTGGAAAGCTCTGAAAAGAACGAAGCATGGGAAGATGGTAGGACCTGATGACATACCAGTGAAGGTTTGGAAATGTCTTAGAGATGGCAGTGAGGCTTTTGACTCAAATATTCACTGGCATATTTGAGGGTGAGAAAATGCCTGAGGAATGGAGAAGAAATGTGCTGGTGCCCATTTTTAGAAACAAGGGTGATGCACAGAGTTGTAGCAACTACAGGGGAATTAAGTTGATGCATCACACAGTGAAGATCTGGGAGAGTTGTGGAAGTTAGACTTAGACGAGAGGTGACAATCTGTGAGCAGCAGTATGGTTTCATGCCAAGAAACAGCACCAAAGATGCCATCTTTGCTTTGAGGATGCTGATGGAGAAGTACAGAGAGTAAAAAAAATACTCCATTGTGTCTTTGTGGATTTAGAAAAAGCACATGACAGGGTGCCAAGAGAGGAGGTGTGGTATTGCATGAGGAAATTTGGAAGGGCAGAGAAGTATGTTAGACTGATACAGGACATGTATGAGGACATCAGGACAGTGGTGAGATGTGCTGCAGGGGTGACAGATAGCTTCAAGGTGGAGGTGGGAGTGCATCAAGGATCGGCTCTGAGCCCCTTCTTGTTTGCTCTGGTGATGGACTGACTAACAAATGAGGTCAGGCAGAAATCCTCGCAGACTATGTTTTCAGATGACATTGTGATCTGTGGTGAGAACAGGGAAAAAGTAGAAGAAAACTTGGAAAGGTGGAGGTATGCACTTGAAAGAAGAATGAAAGTCAGCCGTAGTAAGACAGAGTACATGTGTGTGAATGAGAGCGAGGCCGGTGGAACAGTGAGACTACAAGGAGCAGAGGTCACAAAGGTGCAGGACTTCAAGTACTTGGGGTCCACTGACATGGCCTTCTCTGTAGCAGGACCAAGACTTTGGAACGAGTTACCTCTGCTTGTCAGACTGGCCCACTCCATCTCGGTTTTCAAATCCCGTTTAAAAACTCACTACTATTCAGTAGCTTTCAACACCAGAGGATCTGTGTTTTGAACCTGTATGCTCCACACTGGTTTGTCGTCATATTTATTATATGCATCGTTTTTATGTCTATATTTTTGATGTACTTCATTTTGTATATTGCTTTGTGTGTTCTCTGTTGTTCTGTCTGTACAGCACTTTGGTTGGCCTTGTAGCTGTTTTAAGTGCTCTATAAATAAAATGGTATGGTATGGTACTGTACAGGAAAATGGGGAGTGTGGTAAAGAAGTGAAAAAGAGAGTCCAGGCAGGATGGAGTGGATGGAGAAAAGTTTCAGGAGTGATTTGTGACAAAAAGGTGTCAGCAAAGGTCAAAGGAAAAGTTTACAAGACAGTGGTGAGACCAGCTATGTTGTATGGTCTGGAGACAGAGACATGGACAAAAAGACAGGAGAAAGAACTGGAAATAGCAGAAATTAAGATGATGAGGTTCTCCTTAGTGACAAGGATGGATAAGATTAGGAATGAGATCATCAGAGGTACAGCACAGGTTGAACAACTGGAAGATAAAGTTAGAGAGGCCAGACTGAGATGGTTTGGACATGTCCAGAGGAAGGACAGTGGGTACATTGGTAGAAGGATGTTAGAAATGCAGCTGCCAAGAAAACAAAGAAACAAAAGAGGAGATATATGTATGTAGTTAGAGAAGACATGAAGGAAGTTGGAGTGAGGACAGAGGATGCAGAGGACAGAGTGAGATGAAGGAGGATGACTCGCTGTGGCGACCCCTGAAGAGAGAAAAGCCAAAAGAAGAAGAAGGTAGCTGACAGCAGTGCACAACACTTTCTGAATTCAAATCTAAAAATTAAAGATGGCCACCAAAGCTAATTTCAAGTGCCTATAATTCAGCCATTTTTCAGCTGAAATTTGGTGTATTGGTAGCTGAGAACGATCCCTAATGGACTGTGATTGCAAATCATATATCCAAGATGACTGCCTGAGCTAAATATGAAATATACTATAAATCAGACATTTTTAGAGATATTAAGCTGAAATTTCCAATACATGGATACAAATAAATAAATCAAGATGGACACCAAAGTTAAATTATAACCACCATCACAGACATTTACTCCTCCAGATGCAGGAAAAGAGCCACCTGCATCATGAAGGACCCCACTCACCCAGCACACACACTTTTTGCCCCGCTCCCCTCAGGAAGGAGGTTGAGGAGCATTAAGTGTAGAACCACTAGACTGAGGAACAGCTTCTACCCTGAGGCTGTTAGACTCATGAATCTCTAACCAGGATGATCACTGTGAAAAATCACATCATGTTGCTGCTGATCTGTTTCATGTTGCTGTTGATCTGTTTCATGTTGCTGCTGATCTGTTTCATGTTGCTGTGTTCATGCATGCTCATCTGCTCACACATTCATGTTCGTGCTGCTGTTCGACGTAATGTTTTTGTGCTATTACTGCTTAGTGTATTTTTAGTTGATGTTTTTCTTAGTTCATATCTTAGATGTTATTACTGTTTTTCTTCTGCATTTTATTGTCGGATGTAACTGGGACCCTGTGTACATAATTTTGCTCGTGGTGCGAACGACAATAAAGAATCTCTGACTTTGATAATGGCTTTAACTCAGCAATTCTTATACATACAGAGCTGAAATTTGGTATGGTGGTAGCTGAGACCAAACCTCAGCGTAGTACCGGACCGGTACGCTGTCAAATCAAAATTTTAAGCAGCAGCGTGGCAGTCCCCATCCAGAAACTTTCTAGTTCTATCTTATGCTCTGCCAGTTTTGTTCACTCTAGCTCGTGTTCTATTTGGTTTAGCTATGAGCTTCAGCTCTTTTCAACCTTTAAGCCACATATAGTTTTTGATTAGTGGTTTTTTTTCTGTCCACTGAACTATTTTGTCTATCTCTTATCTTATATTTTCTTCAGTGTGGTTATCTGTGTGGATGTTTGATACCTGATCTGTGTGAGTCGGATCTAATTTTAGCTTCCAGCTGAAGCTTTGACTCGTTCAAAAAGCTTCAGACTCCAGCGCAGCCCTGTAATGGCTGCTTAGTGTGGACTAGTTTTCAGGTAATCTTCTTTTAGCTCTTTATTCATTCATTTTTATTCAGCAGACTGTTTGGAGCAGGCCAGGCGTTATTTACATAAAAACATTAGCTGTTGGTTTGAAACAACACTTTGATCTGTTTAAAGTTTTAAAAATAACTTTTTCTGTGAAACTACAGTGAACGCTGAGCTGACATGTACTGAAGCTAAAACTGACTAAAAGTTAATATAAGTAAAACGCTAGGTAAATGCTAAAAATAATAAAAACTTGAGTTAAAGCTAAAAATATAAAAATGCTATCTAGAACTAAGTATCAGTAAGTAGTAGCTAAAAGCTAAAAGTATCTGCTAGCTAGATGCCAAAGTTAGCTAAAAATATCAAAAGGCTTGCTAGATGACAAACGTTGCTAAAAGTGTGAAAATGTTACCTATATGCTAAAAATATTAAAATGCTAGTTAGGTGGTAAAAGTATCAAGCAGTAGCTAAAAGTTAAAAGTAACAAAATGCTAGCCAAATTCCAAAAGTATTAAAAAGTAGCTAAACGTTGCAAAATAAGCAAAAAGCAGCAACAGAAGCAAAGTTCAAAGAGAACAAAGTTTTTGAACTGAAGAGATCTCAGAGTATTTCTATGGGGAAAAATACAAATACAGTAAATACTTTTCTTAAGTATAAAGTAATATCATTTGAAGATGGCCGCTCATCCTGAGCCTGGTCCTGCTGGAGGTGTCTTCCCATTAAAAGGGAGTTTGTCCTTTCCACTGTTGCCTTTGTGCTGGTTCAGGATGGGAGACTGCGATGGCTACCTTAGATAACGAACGTTTAAATAAATGATCAGCTAAAATAGCACAAAGTCTGCAGAAGTAGTTAGACTGTAACAACCGTACGGTTAAATAAAGTCCAGGAAAAAAAACAGAGAACACAAACTTAGCATATTAGGAGCAGGAGCTGAATTATTGCACTAAACGTGTCTTTGTCCTCACAGAGTCTTTGTCCTAAAAAAGAATCTTTGTCCTCAGTGTCTGTCTTCACATAGTGTTTTTGCCATCACAGTGTCTTTGTCCTAACAGAACATGTCCTGTTGGACCTAAAGCTTGGACGTGATCTCAGAGGAAGACAAGCAGCAGGACTTCAGCAGAGAACCAGTCTCCGTGGACATGTCTAACCCAGCCACAGAGCGAGGAAGGACCTTCCAGAGGTTCTCCGTTGGCACCAACGAGTCTCTCCGCTTTGAACCCTGTGAGGACAGCTCTCCGTCTCCCACCGGGCCAGAGGATGGACACAATGAAGACGATGTGTTTAGGAGGGAAGGGAACGAGGTGGGGACGCTATAACGGTTGATTCATGGTGGAAACATTTTTCTTTTTACAGAAAATAATAAAAACTGAGTAAATACAAAACAACGCATTTATTTGTGACAAAAATAAACTTAAAAATAATATTTATTCACAGTTTTGCATTCAAACATGCATTTATTTTTTAATCCTCCTGCTGTCCTTGGGCCAATAAAGGCCTAAAACTGAGACCTCAGGACAGGAGCCATTTTGACCCAAGGGCAGCAGGAGGGTCAAGGCGATCCTCAGATGAAACGGTCCAGAACTCAGTGTTGAATTAATGTGGTGACGGTTTAGAGCAGGACCATTCAACTGACGGCCCGGGGGCCAAATCAGGCCCACGGGTGAGCTCAGTTCGGACCACCAATGGGTTCATTTTAAATAAAACTAGATTTTAAACCATAAAGCAAATTTACTTAATGACAATAACAGCTGGATGTCCGGCCCCTGAGCTCTTGGTTTTCATTGTGGGCCCTGAGCAGTTTAGTTGAATAGTCCTGGTTTAGAGGATGGACTTGATCACAAACAGCAGAAAACTCTGACAGTAAAAGTCGACTCAGGTTTCATTAGAAACAAAAAGTGTTGAAATATATACTGTATATTTTTTTCCAGACTGAGATGGTCTCGATCAGGAACCAGCTGCAGGGGAAGGTGGCTGAGATGGAAAACTTCGCCGGTCATCTGGAGGAGATCTTCCTCACCGTGGAAGTGAGTTTGGTGTCACAGTTGTGCTGTGGTGATAAGTTTTGTAGTCATTTGGCTTTCATTTGTAAACCTGTGCACGTTTTACACACGGTCCATGTAGAAATTTCTAACTGGACCACTGCTGTTCTGCGAATGTGTCCAGGAGAACTTCGGCCGTCAGGAGCAGAACTTGGAGCAACACTACAACGAGGTTCTGCAGACGTTGTCCCAGCGGTACGACGACAGGGCGAGCGAGCTGGAGGAGGAGAAGAAGCGGAAGCTGGAGTCTCTGTACGCTCAGCTGCTGCCCTGTGGTCAGGCTCTGGACCGCTCCAAGGATCTGATCGAGTCCGCTCAGGAGGTCCACCGCAGCCAGGACCACAGGCTGTTCCTGAAGGTGACCAAAGCTTTGGTTCTTCCAAACCTTCTCAGAACGGTCAGGTTAGATTCAAACAGAAGACCAGACTCCAGCAGGTGATCAAACATGGCTGATCCTGTATTTATCAGTTGATTTCTTTGCCTTCTGTTGACAGGCGGCCGTACCCATCATTAAAAGGTAATCAAGACGACGCTCGTTAACTTTGCATGGCTTGACTGAAAACTGACAGCGTGCTGATGTTTTATGGTTGAACAAAAGACGCTCTAAGAGTTTTTAAACATAAAACTGATTAGAAAAAGATGTTTTTCTTCCCATTAGAGACTTCTAAACCAAACTGAAAAGTTCAGAGATCCAAGATTTTAAACTGTTCTATTTGTATGAACTGAACTCAGCTGTAAATTACTCTCCCTCCCCTCCCTCCTGAAGGTCATCAGGATCTTTGATGGTCTGCTCTGCATCAGACGAGCGAGAGATCCAGTAAGTCACTGGGATGCGACTAGTTGGTGAACAAAATTAGAAATGGAATTTCAGAAACTCCATGTCCCTGAAGCTAGGATGGAGCGAGAAATGGATCATCAGGGCCACTTACTCAGTAATGAGTGTGTTGCTCCAGTTGGTCATAGTGAAGGAAGAATTGAGTCACAAAACAAAGCTCTGGATTTGTCTGTCTACGTTCCAACCCTCACCGGTGGACATGAAGTTGGATCAGGACCAAAAGAACCAGATCCTGGATCCAAGTGGTTGAAATGTGTCTGGGCTCAGCCTTAGAGATAGGAGGAGGAGCTCCATGATCCTGGGGGAGCTGCTGCTCCTCTGGAGTCAGTTCAGGTGGTTCATCTGATCAGGACGCCTCCCTTTGGAGGTTTTCTGGGGACGTCCCACCAGGAGACCCAGAACTCTCTGGAGGATGTATGTATCCTCTCTGGTCTGGGGTCTGGGAGCACCTTGTGATAGCACAGGACGGAGGTCTGGGTTTCTCTCCTGGACCCGTTACCTTGACGACCCTACGAGTAAGAGGTAGGAGGTGCAGATGAAGAGTTTGGAAATGTTTGGGAGGTTCTCATGTTCCCCATGTAGATCTTGTTCTTGTGTCGCAGGAATTTTAAATGTTCAAAAAAAATTGCATTTTATTTTTTTAAATTGAGAGTCGTCACATCTGGATCTCGTCTTGAACCCCTCTCAGTTGAAGCCAGTATCTCTCCTGAAGTCTTTAGTTTCCTGACGCCCCGTTTCCTCGCTTGAGGTACAAAATCTTGTCACTTGGACTTTAAACATTTGTGGTAAAAAATAAATAAAAAATCTTGTCTCAGGTTTAGTTTCCAGTTTCAGTGAGAAGTAACAATTCTGAGTTCTCACAGCTTTGTCTCTCCAACTGTTAGCCAACAGTCACAGTCCAGATGATCCAGATCAAAACCTGAAAACTCCTCTAGTGCGTCTGCAGTTTTCGAAGACTCCAAAGAATTCTGCATTTTTAAATTTTGAATTGTGAAAACTCCTCAGATGAGAAGCAAAACATCTTCAGCATGAAAGAAGTCCAGACATCTTTTTAAAACACGTTTTGTGTTGATGGAGTCCCGGATGACTGAGGGTCCGCACCAACTAACCCTGATGGTGTGAAGCGATCGGGTTAAACACCGGGTCACTTCTTTCTGTTTGTGTTGCTTTAGAATCGAGGCGTTTTCCAGGGAGGAGGTGGACCTCAGGCTGGCGACGAGTCTTGAATTTAACACGCCGCTCGCTGATCTGTCTGAAGTCAAAACCATGATGGACTCCATCAACGTTGTTCCAGGTCCGATTCAAACGACTCTCCACTCACACAACTAAATGGAAACCTGCCCACAACAGTTTCATTTTATAAACAGCTGAAACTGTTTACATTTACCCAAACGCATTAAAATGTTGAGAAATCTTTGACCAGAGGCCACGAGGAGCAACTTCTTGGAGGCGATGGCAGAAATTCGCTCACAGGAGTAGATGTTTGGTGTCACCAAGTGGTTGAACAAAGAAACAAATACTTTTCTTCTGTTCCTGTTAATAACTTAATAAAGTGTTTTCCCTTCGCCTGCAAACAGCTCCGTCTGCTCCGGTGATCAACCCGCAGACGCCCAACTCGGCCTCCCAGACGTCCCTGCGGGTGTGCTGGAGCCTGTTCTCCGACGACGCCGTGGAGTTCTACGAGCTCTACTACAGACCGGTTCTGGAGGACACACCAGCAGACGGCACCAGTACACCTCCTGGTACCAGCTGTAGATCATTCCTTTGTCCTGACCAAGTACTTCTTTGTTCTACCTGTGATCTTTCGTCTTAGTAAGCAGGGTGAAAGTGAAGGAGACGCACTGCACCGTGACGGACCTGCTGCCCAACGCCCAGTATGAACTCTGGGTGACGGCCACCAACACAACTGGTATCAGCCCGGCCAGCGAGAAGGCCCTCTACGTGACAGGTGACCAGATCTTTGAAACGTCTGCAGAAACTCAGCTGGATCTCCCTCTCCCCCCAGACACTGATGGTTGATGTTCTAACGTCTGAACCGTGTCTCCTCAGTCCCGTCGCCTCCTGTGATCAGGCAGAGGGAGAGCAGCAGCTGTCCAGAAGCTGCTCTGATCTGCTGGGAGTCTGGGAACACCAACCCCGTGGACTCCTACACCGTGGAGCTCACAGAGACCGGTTCTGACGGCACAGAGGGCAGCGCCACCGAGTAAGAACAGACTTATTGATGTTTATAAGTAAATAATAATTAGTTTGGTCGTCCTGGAGCTCAGCTCCAGTCTGAAAAAATATTTCTTCTTTTTCTGCAAATATTTAACTCATTTGAGAGAATTCCCAGAGTGCATTTCACCGAGACAGGATGTTTAAATTTGGATTTAAAGACAAATATTTGTGTACACACAACGCCACCTATTTGCATCTTTGATTACTTTCGTAAACAAGCTGGTGGAGCCGTCAGGTCCCGTGGCGCTGCTGAATCAAGACTCTGTCCCAAAAACTATTCTTAGCTTCAGCGCCTGCAGCAGTTTACCTCAACTGAACGTTTGTCACATGACGCCCGTTTTCACTTTCCATCTCCTCAAAAACTGTTCAAAGATCTCGTTAAGACCCAAACGTAACAGTTTGGTTTGTAAAGCTGCCGAGATATTTCACAGTAAATGATGCAGAAATAAAACGTGATGTATAAAACAGACATTTGATAAAGGTTACACACTCAGTGTACCTCGTATTGACCTGGAATAATCACAGGTTACCTACAGGGAAAATACTTAACAGAGTATGTACCAGATACATGCAGGGTACTTAGTTTGTACTGGGGACTCACAGGGTACATAAGTATTTAAAAATAAAAGTGCTATATTCATCGTACGTTTCTATACAATGACTGTCTCCATTTGATTCGTCACGTGAGATGCACCCAGGTAGACCAGGGAGAAGTGAGGGATTAGGTGTCTTGTTCAAGGACACGTGAGCATTGTGGGGAATTGAACCTGACTTTCTGGTCCCAGGTCAGCTACCCTACCACAGTGGCTTGTGGTACTTCATACCACATACCACCATCTGGTAGTTATATTGTGTACCCATGAGGATCAGGCTGTATTATGAAATGACTACCTGTAGGGTATGTACTTAATATTTACCTGGCATGTCTTGTGTATTAGTACCACTGAAGTCTCTTTACAGGTCCATCGTAGCCGTGCCCACCTGTCAGTGTCTGATCCAGCTGCAGGCAGGACGACGGTACCTGGTCTCTGTGAGGGCGGTCAACATCGGGGGGTCCAGTGACAGAAGTGATGTCATAACCGTCTCCACAACAGGTAAAAACAGAACCACCTTGTCGATACCTTTAAATGGTGGTTCTGAGCAGCTGCAGACGATCTGCTAGAATTTTGTTTTTATTGATAGTGTGTAAAAACTAAAGCGGGAGTCCCACTGTAGCTATTAGCAGGGGAAAGTACTAAACATGCCGAAAAGGTTTTACCTACAAGGCCTAAAGTTTAAACATTTAACTCTTTAAAAGTCCCCAGAAACTTTATTTTAAATAGTTAAATACTTTTTTTTTTTCAAATCTGTTACTTTTTAAATGACTATTATTTATTTTACATTTTAGCTATTTTATGTATTTACAACCCTCCTGCTTCCTTTGGGTCAGAATGACCCGAGTCCTCGGTCTCAACACCACGGCCTTGTGGGTCGCCTTGACCTAAGGGCAGCAGGAGGGTTACCTTTGACCACAACTACAGTTCAGCTTCTGTTCTGCTTGTTTTAATATTCAGCCCGTCTCATTTTAGCAGAAAAGGTATTTTTTGTGCCGTCCTCCACAGGGACGTTCTTCCAGCTCCTGGAGGACACGGCCCACCCATGCCTGTCCATCTCTGAAGACGGTTTCACTTTGTTTTACGGGGACGAGGAGCTGCCCATGAGTGCGATGGCTTTAGATGACAACACCTTCACCAGGTGTGGTTCGGCGTCCGTCTGTTTCGGCGGATCATAAACTGTTAACGCACCTGTACCTGTGTGTGAACAGGAGCGTCGCCGTCCTCGGGAATCTGATTCCAGTGCGAGGCAGACATTACTGGGAAGTGGAGGTGGACGACGAGACGGAGTTTCGGGTCGGAGTCGCATACGAGGACACCGAGAGGAACTCTTACCTGGGGACTAACAGAACCTCCTGGTGCATGAGACACCTTCGTAGTCCGTCCAGGTAACAGCCTGTAACCCAATCTGGAGCCAGTGAACTTTAGCAAACAAAATTAGCCAAACCTCTGTCATTTCTATATTGAGCTACAATTTAGCACAGTAGTAACAGAGAGTCATACCCAACACATGCACTGAGGGCTGGGCCTTTCATTAAACTTGATGTTGTTGACAAAATAGTCCCCACTAGCTTTGGTTTTCGGCAGCTATTTGTTCCAATTTGCTGTGAATGACAAGGAAAACAAAGGGCTTTTAGATTAAAAAAATAAATAAAAATCCTGTAACCAGAACCAACCAGGCCTATCAACAGTTCTTTGATCCCTACAGCAGAGCCTAAAACCTGGTGGATATGCTGCATTCTGACTGGATGCCTGACTGAAGCGGCCCATCAAACACATCAGATCCAGCAGCTGAACCAGGCGACTGATGTAAACAAAACACACCGCCAAAACCCAAATGTGACTAAAGTCATTGAATCAGCTGATGAGCAGCTGAGTGAAACAACAGCTGATTTCTGATGGTCTCCATTGAACGTTTATGTCAACGTCACCATTAGCTTGCAGCGAGCAGACACCTCTCCACACCTCCACCCAGGGCATCACGCGGCAGACTTAAAAGGAGCGCACCCAACGATGATAATTAAAGGCCTTGTGTTCTTTGAAGGAATGTTCCTCAGCCGCTGCCTTTCGCCCCAGTTCCAGACTAAGATGCTGAGAAATGACAGAGTTGTAGCAGTTTTGTGTGCGACATCTTGCACGATGACCTGTTAGCACTCAAAGCATGTGTTGGGAATGATTCTCAGCTACTACCATGTCGAATTCGAGCTCAGCATCTGTAAAATTAACAGAGCAACGGCCATCTTTGTGTCGGCTAACATCACTTATCCTGGAATGAATTATCTGCAGAACTAGGAAGGACTTTCTGAAAGTTTGAGTGATATTTAGGTCTGACGCACGTCGTCTCTGTGCGAACTGAAGATCTGTTCCTGTGTTTCTATAGCAACCACTTTAGAAACCCAAGCAGGACCGATGATTCCTCACATTAAAACCATTCAGAGCAACAGATCAAACCCAGAATGCGATTCCCACCGCGGGCTTCTTGTTTATCCTGCCTACAAAAAATATTTTCTTTCATCTGCAGACATTTAAATTCTTGTGGGCTCATTTGTCTGCTGTACCAGTGGAAGCCAAAATAACTCAAGGGAAAAGGTTTCCGCTTTAAATTTCTTTCCAAAAATCATGACAATATCCTGTTTTCTAAGGCACAAATATGAGTTCCTGCACAACGGCTGGAGCCCGGACTTAAGGATCACCGTGCACCCGCTGCGGATCGGACTGGCACTGGACTACGAGCGGGGGACTCTGTCGTTCTTCAACGCTGACCTGGAGCAGCACCTGCACACCTTCCACTGTCGCTTCCAAACGTACGTGCAGCCCTGCTTCAGCCTGGACAACCGCGGAGCCCTGACCGTGCACACCGGGGTCGCGGCTCCCAGACACGCGTTCGTGTGACGGCAGGAAGTTCCGACAGCGGTTCCGTTTACCAACACAAAGCAAAGTTTGTGTTCGTTTGATAAAATCTTTGAGAACTCGTGTTTTCAGGAAAACCTACGTCTGTCAGTAAAGACAAAACGAGACGTTTTGAAGTGTTTTTATTCCATGGGAACAGGCATACTCCATTTTGCAAGAAAATAAATGGTTTCAGTGAATTTTATGCTTTTAAATCATTTCGCTGCAGCAAAAACAGCTGATGAAGCTCAAAAAGAAAAGGTTTTAATTAACAAAACGTAAAATAATTAAAAGCAGAAGAGAGTTTATTCTATGGTTGTATTCACGTCTTAAAGGGAAAAGTCCACCCTCTGTACTCCCCGACTTTAAAGTAGTTGATAAATATGGACTGTTCTGAAGTGATGAGGTTTAATTTTACCTTTTTTTAAGGACATAATTTAAATTTGGATGAAAGGTGGAAGAAAAACTAACCAATAGAACAAAGATGGGGAAATTAAAACATAAATAAAAAATAACTAAGACTGGCTGATTACAGACAGATGAACAAACATTTCTACATCTACACGAAGAGGCGGGAGTTTAAATCCGCTCACCTTCAACTCACTAAACCAACAGGTTCCACGTGTCAGTTCGATGTGGTCAAGAGGTTCTGACTGATTCAAACTAAAGTACATAAGAGCGAACAGAACCTCGTTTTGTTGAAGCATGTCTGTCACTGGACTGCGACTGGTTGGTGAACAGAATCTGCGAGGAAGACTCCAGAATGTCTCAAAGCGTTTGTGTCTGTTTCCGTGCGTGAGCAGCAGAGACTCTCTGGCTAACATCCAGAATTCGGTGAGACCACAACAGAAAATTTGTTGCCGTTTTGAGACACCTGAACGTCTCCAACAGCCGCAGCGCAGTGAGAGGTGACTTTAAGTTGCTGTATTTTGTGCACAGTGTTTAAAGGGTAGACTTTTCCTTTTCTGGACAGTTTGGGCCTGATGTTGACACATCGGACTTTAAGTGACTGAGTATTTCGGGACAATGGGGGCCAGCTGAGGTCATGAGTTTTCTGTCTTACTGCTGTGAGTCCTCTCATCCTCCTCGTCTGAGGAGTCTCCGTCGTAGGGCACGAGCCCCGAAGTGTCCAGGTTCACCTTGATCCTTTTCACGCACACGTCTTCTTCAACATCTGTAAGAGCACAACAAAAACAGAGAGAGAGAAAAACAGGAAAGTGGGAGACATAAGAAAAGAGAGGTGTGGGGGAGGGGGAGGTCAAAGAGAAACCCATGAGGAGCCCCACATAAGCGGTGGTTTTTCAGTTGATTTGATCCCGGGCCGGGGGGGCGGGGGGAGGGAAGAGATCAAATGAAACGGCAGCAGAGCACACATCCATTACCGGCCCGTCCGGGGACATGTTGAGAGAGAAAACAGGGGAAAGACAAAAAAACATATACAAGAAGAGCGTGTTAGTGAGTTCAGTCACAGGTGAGATCCATACACGTCCTCCACTCCTCCCCCGGTGCTCCGTGGGAGGAGGTGCTACTTCATGCATTAGACAGCTCCACAGAAGAAACGTCCCGAGTACTCGGGCTCTCAGAATGTTTGAGAATGAAGAAACGCATACCCAATGACACGGCGGCGTTCTGCAGGCCCGGCGGATCCTCTGTCGCAGCATCCATCGGCCTCTTGCGCGTCACAGGAGCCGGAGCCACAAAGGGAGGCGGAGGTGGAGGCATCAGAACTCTGAAAGAAACAAAAACTTTAAAATAATGCACAATAAAATTAAAATAAAGATGACAAAAGATCAAATGTATGGTCCAACCTCTCTGCTTTCTCTTCAACACTGGAGGAAGGGAGCGTGGACTCCGGGTGAACAGGACCCTCTGGAGAGCAGCTGCCAAGCTACGAGAAAACAAAACTGGACTTTAAACGTTTTCCAAAGTGCAACCGACAAACAAATGTTTATCTTTAGGCAATAATTTCATGAAAAATAGCTGGAATGAAGCAGCGACACCTGAAGCTTCTCAGCAGATCTGATCACAACATTGTGACTGTAACTCAAACAGGAATGACTTCATTAAACCGTTAAAAGCCACAGCTGACCTGCTCGTCCGCTGCCCCCGTCTGAACATGACGTTTGGGACTTCCTGTGTCAGCTGCGGGGCTCAAAGACCCTTCAGGCTCCACCGTCTCACTGCTGCCTGGGTCCTTAAAAAAAAAAAAAAACTGATGAGGAAACCACAATTGTCCAACAGCTCGGAGAGACTTCTTGTTCTTACAACTACAAACTCATCCAGTAACTCAGTGACTCGTGAAATCCTTTTAATCTTCCTGTGGTTTATTTCACGATGACATGTTTTCTTACATGAATCTTTACTGAAAACTTGTAGCTCTGGAGGTACTGATCTGAAGCAAATACCTGGACAAGGTATGGATGTGGTTTCCTGGGACACACCGGATACTGGACCATGGTCTGAGAAGATGGTGGGTTGGTGGATACGTTACTCGGGGAACCATCAGGATTACTCCAATAACCAGTGGCTCCAGGATATGCAGCGTAGCCGCCAACATACCCGTTGGCTGGGTAGTTATACCAGGACGCCTGGTTAGCGTAGCTGCTGTTGGATGGATATCCGTGAGCTGGGTACACAGAGATGACAGAGAAGAGCATAAATCACACAGATCATGAAGACAATTTTGACTGCTTCAGCTTAACATTGAGCAACAAAAATGATCATGAAAGGATTTATTAATCAAAAACAATACAGAAATCCAACACTGAAACTATTACATGTATTTGGGGTTATTTGCTCGTTTGTTTTACAGAAGATGAAGTCATGTCTCTTAGTTCTGAGCTTTTCTTTCAATTCCAACTGGCTGAAGCAGAACCAAGAGGTGTGGAGCAGAACTCAGCCGGGTTGATGTGGAGCTTCAACACATTGAATAAGTGACAGACTTTTCCAGCCGCTTTAACTGCATTTAATCATTTTGTCTCTTCCCCCGATGTCTGATTTTTACTCCAATGTGCACCCTTTCAACTGACCATCCAGAAACCACGACTAAAATGGTTCTACGCTACTGAATCATAGCAGATCCCCTGATCTAAAAAAAAAAAAAAAGCTTTTTTAAAAGCTCTAAAATTAGGCTAAAACCACTTGGTGACTTCATGTCCTACAGAAGCCCTGCTACAGCAGGTAACAGATTACTCACGTTGTGTCGAGCCTGTGGCAGTGTACATCGACACCATCTGGGCGTGTTCAGCTCTCACCTGGAAAATAATAAAGAAAAACAAAACTAATTCATGAACACAGCAAATCTAACAAAGACTACATGCATCAGGATACTACATCAACTGGTTTCACTAATGGGTTTGTGGGTAGGTGCAGAGCACTGTAGATCTATAACTGGAGATCAGGTGGTTCACACTACCACATTCAATGTAGGAGGTGGGTATCAGTGAAAACTACGCACTTCAGTAGTTTCACCTTCTTACACCTCCCAACAGATCGACTCATGACGTCATAAACAAGAAGCCATACTTACAGTTTCCAGCAGGCTCTCTGTAAGTTTCTTTGCAGACTCCAGACCAGCTGTGTTTGGGTGACTACAACACAAAAAAGCTACTGTTGTAATCTGATGAAGCACTCGAGAAGTGACTCGCATTGAAACAAACGAGGCGCTAATGAGACTGTTAGAAATTATTTGTTTAAAGTACTCCTTATACCAAACATCATGAGGTTCGTGATGACAGGACATACCTGATGTAGATGTAAAGAGGCTCAAAAGACTCGCGTTTGGATGCTTGTTCTATGTAACCAGATCCTTTCCCCCTGAGGAAGATCCGAGCCCCCGTCTCAGTCTGGATGTGAGTCAGGTACGTCCCTGATGGACCTTCAACCTTTTCCTTTACGTTGAATGAAGGCAATGCTTGGTCCAAACCCACAAAGATCTTTGTGTGCACAAAACTCTATATATATATATAAAAAATATATATTTGTTTTTAATCAATATGTTCATTTAAAAGGTAACAAAACGGTTAGATGGATTTGAATGTTAGCAAATGCAGTCATCCATGGAGTTTCCTGCAGACCATGGATGTTCTCGCTGCTCATTTATTTTGGAGGTGGGTATCAGTGAAAGCAACATAACCTTCATCTGCCTCACTTTCTTAACCTCCGTTGCAAAGATCTGAATCAACACTCGGGTGAAGATGACCTACCCCTGTGTGAGGAGCTGCTGGTCGGTGTCCTAGACCCGGCAGAGAGTTCGTGTTGGGCATTCGTGGCACAGGAGAGGTGATAACTGGCCGAGGAGGCTGAGGGTAAAGGGTGAGCGGGGGGATCACTGGAACCTGCTGTCCTGATTCTGCCGAGGCTCTCAACACATCTTCAGAAATGATCTCCTTTATCCTCAACACAGCCTCTGCCGTTGCAGAAAAACAAAAGTTTAGGAATTACGATTTTAAATGAAAACGAGCCAGCTTTGTCTTCTTTAAAACAGCATCTTCTTACTGTTGACATGCTCCTGAGTTTTTCCCTGAACGTGCAGATACAACGGTCTCTGCCTGAAAGGGAGGAAGTCAGAAACATTAAATCCTTTTCTTTGCATTTATTAAACACACACACAAATAAAATTAATGTAAATCTCAGATCACATAAACTCTTCATTTTTTTCCAAGTATAAATCAGGTTTTACACAAAAGTATTACTTTTTACTAAAGGCAAAAGGCAGTGTAGTAAAAATATATTCAACAGAAATGTGAGTGGTGTGTTTATAATTTAAAATAAAGCAGTACACACAAAGCTGATGTGCATCTACTACTTTATGAGTCGTTGACACGTTCCAGGTGCCTTATTTGTACCGTTTCAGTAACTGAGTGTTTGCGTTTATCATTTGGATATAAATTCTTGATTTTTTTATTTTTCAAAACAAACCAGATTGTTGGTAAACTAACATGCTGTTCAACTGTGTTGTATTTATCTCAAACTTACTTTACTGTCTGATAAAACAAAGAGTGCAAACCACATATACATGGAGAGAACAAGACCACCCTGAAAGGTCCCAAACTGGGAAACAAACCTGCAACCTTCTTGCTGAGAGGCAACAGATCTACAAGCTGCATGCATTGCAAACATTTTTAACCAAAACATTAAAACAAAAGTTACACAATAACGCACACAAACAGCAGGAAGGACGAGTTAACCTGTGAACTTGATGTGAACAAGTTAAAAACTTGTTATGTCAACAAAATCAGTGGCTGCAATACGATCAGTGGAGCGGTATCAAAAAGAACCAGAATGTGCAACAGCTTTGCTCCTCTGAAAACAGAGCCGTTAACTCCCAGTACCGGTAATTAGTCCTCTGTACTAACAAATATGACCAATTTGAAAAAAAAAAATGAAAAAAAAAAAATTATTAATACTCTGTTTGTCCAGAGACAAATGTAGCATCAAAAAGAAAATTAAACTAGTCAAAATGCAGACACCACCACCTCATCAGTTAAACAGATTAACACATGTGGTTAAAATGTGTTTTTACGTGGTCCCAGTTCAGATGTACATATTTTAATATTTCAGTGTCTTTTCTATATCACAGTTGTTTCTCATAACAGCTGGGTGCAGGCTGTCTTTTGCTGTAGATTAATCTAGCTAAAGCTACCTGCTGTGTATAACACACTGCAGGCAGAAGTGACCCATATCTGATTCCCTTATGAATGTCTGAACAGGACAAATCTGATTTATTTCAAATTCGACCTAGGTCTTCACCTGTGGTTCGGAATCAAGATCCATATCTGATGTTTTTCAGGGTGACCTCAGTCTGAACACTCATGTCTCATTTCATCAGTGAGGTGTGGATTGATCCAAATACTGATAACAACTTTGTGCAGATTAATGCTCAGAACTCCACGTGGCTTCATCTGCAGAAGTCCAGTTGCTTTGTCTTTTTCTCATGATGTCCTGATGACTGAGAATCTACATCTGATGCAAGCGTTGGACTGTATCAATGCCAACATTATGAACAGGATTCATAACTGAGTTTGTTCCTACTTACAGTTGCTCCTGTTCCAGAAGTAATTCTGCACCGCAGTAAGCGATTGAATTATTGGACAAAACAATCATGTCAGATAATTTAAGTGGTTCTGATTGCACAACTTCAGAACTGATCCACATATGCTAACATAGGTAGCATCAATATATCCTCCTATAAACAACACGCTGGGTGTGACATCACGTCTTATTCTGCAGGTCACTTCAGAACTGTGGACTGTTCACACTGGAGTCTAATGGAGGTCACATTTACATTATAATCTGAATGACCACACAGAAACACCCAATTAAAGCAAAAAAAAAAAAAAATCTGTGCTGAGCATTAAGATCTGCCGTTGAAAGTAGCGTGTTTAGCCACACATTATGGGTTGATAAAAAACCTAAAGTGTAACTACACAGCTTTTACCCTGCTGTGTTAGCAAAAAAGATATTTGTTGTACTTTTTCTTAAAAAGTTTAGGAAAACATCAAATGAAAGTTACATACATACATACCCTCCTATTATTCCCTTTTCAACGTCTGTCATGTAATGACCTTTAGTCGAGACCACAGCTCCACTGAACAATCTGATCTGAGAAGAAAAAACAACAACAATATAATGGATTTTTAAGGGGATGTTGCAACTTTTCACACCAACTTCCCCCAAGGCTTTGTGTAAATGTTTTCTATTTACCTCCTCTTGCGTTTTGCCTTTGGTAAGAAGGTCTCTGCTATTTAACGGCACATCATTTATGTCGACTTCTGTCACCACCATTTCCTCTACAGCAGCTGGTACAGGGACACTTGTGGGCATCTAAAAGATGAGGGGAAAAATTAGAGAATAAAGTCAGTTCCTTGGTATTACATGAAACAGACAAAGGCTACACTTGTATCTAAATATTTAAAAGCAGCACCTTTGCAGGCAATGGCGGAGGGGTCAAAAGCTTTCCTTTTGCCATTAACATGGCATTTATTTTAGCAGCCATGGCTGCTGCCAGCTCGACTCCTCCCTGCGCCGGCTTTTCTCCTGTTTCCGGTGACTGCGAGACGGTGCTGGTCGGTCCAGAAGAGCCACAGACTCCTGGTATGGAAACAGGGAGAGCTGCATTTCCAACACTCCTCTGCTGCTGCACATCTACACTCTCTTTAGACTGGGCTGGCTTATCCCAACGACTCGTTAGGCAGCTGGAAAAAAGAAAACAGTTTTAAATTTCCTCATTGTGAACACTTTTAACTAAGTGAACTTGTGGGGAGAAAAAGTACCTCTCCTTTATACTATTGTGTAATATTATATTATAATACACAGTTACCAGAATACTGCAAATGAGAACTTTTTGATTTAGGGACCTTGTAATGTTGGGTTTTATAATAACAATACGGAGTCAAAATTATAAAAAACCATCTGCCACAAAATGGGGAAAAATTAAAGATGGAATCTGACTGTGTTTGGATTGCATTGGTAACACGTATGCACTTCAGAATTAACAACAATACAGTTTTACAACAGCTACATTCAATAAACATATATTAAAGATAGCTTAATATCTGCAACCTTGGAGCAAAAGTTGTTTAAAGCGAGCAAACGTTCAGTACACCAAAAACAAGCTAAGTTAACTTAGCATCTGCTAATAACGTCTGAAACTATTATTCTGTACTAGCATTTTTTTAATACAGCCACTTCAGATTTAAATAGTATTCTTAACAAATCTAAAACGCCAAAATAACATGAAATAACTTAAATCCATGTTTAGGCCTAACCATATTAAAAAACATAACTCACTAACAGGCACTTAACTATCGCGCTACTAGCTCTACAGCGAAGCTAACGCGTTAGCACGCCGCCTTTAGCATGCTAACGCGTTAGCAAGCCGCCTTTAGCATGCTAACGCGTTAGCATACCATTTTTAGCATGGTAACGCGTCGCTCGATACTAATTTTGAGAAAAATGAAAACGTACCGCGTTTGTCCCGTCATTCCTGAAGACATAGCACTCTTCCACCAAGTAAAAAAAGACAAATTTCAGAGTGTAAGAACGACGGCAGCCATCCGTTAGGATGGTTTCCTATGATGTTGTCGCAGCGTCTGAACGAGGCGGAAGCTGAGCGGTTTTCAAGTTATGTAACAAGTTCGTCTGGAAACGAAGCGTAGTTGAAGCATCAGGTCAACGAGATTAACTCAATGTTTTTTATGTTTCTCAGATTTATATGATGGAAACATGAAGTACACCTTATATATTTTTATTGTTCTTTCTCAGGTTAAATTTATACATTGTTGCCAGCTCCTCAGTAAGGAACGTCGCTATTGGCTGTCCTAAAAGTCGCTTGATGACGTCACTGCCTAGTTTGCATAGATAAAGTAATTCAAGCTTTATTTATACAGGTTAGTCTCATTGCTTACCGAGGACTCATTTACAAGAGAGACCTGTTTTTAACAAAGAATGTTGACAACAATAGACAATAATAAAAGAAAGCATAAAAATTGGAATAAATAAATAAATGGAAGAAAATTATTTAAAAATAAAGAAACAATATGTCTGCAGTAGACAACAATGACAACAGTAAAGAAAGCATAACAATAAAAATAAAAATGGAAGAAAAGTATTTAAACAAAACAGCTACATTGTAAAGCAATGTAAAATACTAAAAACAGGAACATGTCTGCGTTGGTTTTTGCCATGAACTTAGCAGATGTTTGAAGCCACTTAGAGAGACTTAAATAAATGTTGCAAGAGACAAAAAGTGATAAAGCACCCAATAGTGTGTTTAAAATTTCAAATTAGTTTCCATGATTTTAATGCTTTGCACAGACCCACATTACATAAATCAATTTGTCACATATTGTTTAATGTTAGAACATCAAAATTTAACATTTAAATTAATTTTTCGGGACTGCAGATGGAAATGAACTAGAAACCTATAATCTGGTACAATGCATCTTTACTGCATTAGAGATTAATATCTTCTGTACATGATCCCTGGCAGATCAAAAACAAACAAACAAACAAACCAAAAACAGTAATGTGGGCAGTAATTGCAGCTTTCCATTCTTTTTAATCTGAGCTTGGGACAGACATAGTGACATTCTGGAAGAGTTACTTGGTTTTATTTATTTAGTTAAAGTTATTTTAAGTGATATGAACCTTTTATGCCATTTAATTTTTAACTGCCTTTTTGAAAAGGTTGGCAGAACTGAAAAGGTTGCGGAGCATCAAGTGTAGAACCACTAGACTGAGGAACAGCTTCTACCCTGAAGCTGTGAGACTCATAAATCTCTAACCAGGATAACCACTGTAATGTCACTTTAATTGGTGATGTGGGACTTATATGTGCTGCTGACTAGCCATGCTGCTGATCTCATGCTGCTGATTATCTCATGCTGCTGTCCAGTATTCATTCATATCCATCTGCTCACCACAGACTCATGTTCGGGCTGCTGTTGATACTCCGTATTGTTTTACTTTATTAGTGTTTATATAGTGTATATCTTGGATCTTTTAGCGTACCATTTGGCATTCATTCAGTGTATATAGATCCTTACTGTTTCTTTTTTACACTTTATATTTTTGCTATTGTTGAGTGTAACTGGGACCCTGAGTGCATAATTTCGTTTCACCTCACGTAGCACATGTGATGTGAATGACAATAAAATTGACTTGAACTTGAACTTATCTTTGCGTATGCATGATTCATTTGCGACAAGCATGGAGTGGGTCTAATACTATTACTAGTATTACTATATATTGTATATACTTTATATATATTAGTATGCTACTACTATTATTGTCTGACAGCAGCTGGTTTTGCTCAGCAGGCCACTGTCAGTCTGGGAGGGGGCAGGGCTTACAGAAGCATGCGCTGCTCATTGAGGACAGGTGACTGTAGGATTAGTCGATTAGATTAGTCGCCATAGTCGCTTTTAAAAAAAGTCTCTAGACGGGTCTGAAAACTCATTAAATGTAGTGACAAAGTTGGCAACACTGAATTTATACTTTCACAGTTATTTTTGTATTTTTATTTACTCCTGGAACTGGCGGGGCCTGAGCCCATCGGGGTTGCCAGATAGGATATAACGAAATACTGTACTTCCACTTTAAAAGTGATGTACAGTACTGTATTTTGGACCCAATTTATATTATGTGCTGACGAAGGGTGCATTCTTTCGACTAACAAGGGAAAATACACAAAATGTAAGGTGAGGGGTTGGATTTGTGAACACGCGCACAGGTAGGAGGGGTTTTTATTCACACCTGGCAAGCACATGGTTTGGCTGGCTGGCTCAAATGATGGTATAAGGGAACGTTTACCTACATAAAAACTAGCCATTTTTTTTTTTTTGTGAATAGAAATGTCCAAACAATTGTATTTTTTAAAATAAATATTTATTGTATTTTGTGTGACCCTAAAATTATAGTATAACTATGATCATCATCATAAATCTAGCAACACTGAAGAAATCCACAATTATATTCTGCAAATATTTTTGTGCTTTTTAAATTAGAAATAACCAAGTAAAAGTATACTGTTTTTGATAGCAGTTAAATAACATTATTAGATAAGTTAAATATTAGTCCGACATGATTTAACCTTTTTTGTTGCCATTTGTCAGTGTTTAACATTGATGTTATAACTGAGGTAGTGTCTCACCTGGGTCCAACTAGATGGTAAACAGAATTCACAAAGGCTTGCAGACGTGTCGCTTGAATTTTGAACATTTTCCAAAATATTTGAGCGTCGAACTTCGTGTCAAAACAGTCACAGAGTCATCCTTGTTGTCATGAGACTACCTGTATGAATAAAAGTTAAATAAAAATGAATAAATGAGCGTCCCCAAGTCGTCTCAAGAGCACTAGCTTTATTTTAACTTCTGCTTGGGAGCCCTCCTCGTGGGCCAGAAAACATCCAAACGTTTTCAAACCACACGATCATAAATAATAATTTTTAAATCATAAACGTGGGTGTAGTTGCTGCCAAGATGGTGGGTGGAGGTAATGTGCACAGCCTAGAATACAGTTTAGCAAATGGTGTGCACAAAAATAAACAATAAATTTCCTAATGTGGCCACACGTCTTGCTGGTTGCAAACGCTCAAATTGCAGTGAGACTGCAACGGAAAGTTGACAGATTTTCCTTCTGAGCATATTCAGTCGTAGGTCCAGTGGGGTCCTGTCACTCACTGGGCTGGAGACCATTGGAGCAAATTGTAAACAGCATCTGAAAGAAAGTCTGAGAGGCTCTTCATCATGTTGGAGGAATTTTTTTTCAAAAGTTCACACAAAGACAGTCACAGAGTCATCATGGGTGTCTGGAACCTACGGTGGCCCTAAAGGTGTAAATGAACAGCATTTGAAAAAACAGAAAAAAACACAACATTTGAAAAACGGAATTACATTAAGCCAAAGTGGAAGTGGTATTTGTTTGTTTGCGTGTGTGTGTGTGTATTTTGTTTTTACTTTATTAACAACATAAACCAGAACAACAGAACAATGTACATTACACACAAAACAGAGGTAGGCTACAGTTAGCAAGCTAATCTTTTTGCAAATGTGAGTCCATCCATCCATCCATTATCTTTTACCCGCTTCTTCCTTTTTGGGTCACGGGGGTCACTGGTGCCCATGTCCAGCGATCACTGTGTGAGGGGCGGGGGACAGTCCATCACAGGGACACAGAGACAAACAAGACAATCACTCTCTCACTTACACCTAGGGACGATTTAGAGTCACCAATCAGTCTAACATGCATGTTTTTGGTCTGTGGGAGGAAACCGGAGTACCTGGAGAAAACCCATGCATGCACGGAGAGGCCATGCAAACTCCACACTGAAAGGCCCCCCGGACTGGGATTTGAACTGGCAACCTTCTCACTGAAGGGCAGCAACTCTACCAGTTGCACCACCATGCTGCCCCAAATGTGATTCCGTTTTTTCAAATGTGATTCTGGCCACTTGGGCTTTGGCCACTTCCACTTTGGCTTAATGTAATTCTGTCTTTCCAAATGTAATTTCGTTTTTTCAAATGTTTTTGTTGGTTGGTTTTTTTTTTGTGTGTGTGTGTTTTTTCAAATGTAATTCTGTTTTTTCAAATATTGTTCATTTACACCTTAGGGCCACCGTAGGAACCTGTCTCGAACCCTTCTCAGTTTAGTTTCAGTGAGTTAACTTGTGCAACATGTGATGCAGCTTGTGACGTCGGCAACCTGTAAAGCTAAATTGTGACAACAAAGAGCGGATTTCAGCAGGTCCACCTGCTCCTCATCATATTGTTTGACATCTTATGAAGAATAAAATACCGCTGGACCGCGTAGAGCAGGGGTGTCAAACCCACTTACAAAAGGGGCCAAAATCAAAACCTTTTCAAACTAAGGGCCAGTTTCAGAATCTACATTAACTCAAGTTAGATTCAACATCTTTTCTTGGTTGCAGGTTCCTCAACAAGAGTTTGATTGGTTTCATTTGACGTTTTCTGTTGCACTTTTGACATATTAATCAAAAATTACTGAAAAAATTAAAGTGATAAAAGTATTTTACATTTAAAATAACATCTTGGGGGCCAGATAAGATGTCAACGAGGGCCACATTTGGCCCCCGGGCCTGGAGTTTAACACATATGGCGTAGATGTGTGTTGTCCAAGAGTTACAAGTTTGTTGTGAGAATGTTGTGTAACAGTTGTCCAGTAGTTTTGACACTCCAAGATGAATTTGGTCCAAATGTCACCAGGAGTTTGTGCAGCGATTGTTTGAGTTGTCCGTGACCAACTCAGTGGAAATCTGTGTAGTTTTCACAGTTTTAGTTCCGTCTGAAGTCAGTTCAGATGACCCAGTAGGATCCGTTCCTGTTTTGAACGCTGTTCTTAAAATAATTCAGCAGACTGTCGGTTAGATAAGAAAACAACAAATAGCACTTTGAGACCGCCGGACAAACAGTTTTGACGCATCTTTTAAATGCATCCTTGTTCTGAGCTCACAGAAAATCAGAAATGAGGCTCATTAACCACAGTAGACAGTTTCATGTAACCTAAAAAGTTTATCATGTTGAACCTTTAGCCCCACTGTGTCACGTGTTGTGGGGTTTGTTTCTCTCTGTGCACA